GCATTTCCTATGCTTCCTTATTCCTAGACAGAGGCTAGGATGAAGCAGCCTGGTGACCTTGAAGAGAGTATCGAGCTACAGGCAGGACAGCCCCGACTGCGAAGCCAGATCAGCTTTCCAACACACTCCCCATTTTAACCCTTGCCTGACCTGGAAACCTTTCAAATAAGCTTCAACATACAAGGTCACATAATTGCAAAGAATCTTCTGTGATATATTTAAGATGACATGGCAGAGAATTTTATTCTATACTGCAAAAATGTATGTCACAATCAGTTGCACTTTAAGATTTATATACTGCTACTTTAATCATTTGAAGCATGCATGTACTGCAACATAGCCAAGACGAGTATTCAAACATAACAAAAGGTATGAAGCCTATCACCTGACTGGTCACCTTTTCATTTTTGCCATGAGTCAGCTGGATGAAAATATAAAAATGGACATATCAAGTCATTATACATTACAGTATGCTCTCTACATTTCCTATCATGGGACTTGCTGAAAGGTAGAAGACCATACAGGCTTTCAGCTGTGCTCTGATTAAAGATAACACCATCCAAATATAATAACTCCTCCAAAAGGAAGAGAGCATAACCAGGAAACAAACATCTGGTTTCTGTGATCATCCATCCTATAATGGAGAGGAGTGAAACTGTCACCATTCCAGTGATTGTGCTGATATGAAAGGAATTCTATTTAAATGACCTTTTCCTTCACCATACATGGGCGGCTGTACAGTATTGTAACGTCGGCCGGGGTGAAGAAGGAACCAGACAGCAAGATTGCCTTTTTTTGTGAGCTGCCATGCCTCATTCTCTAGCTCTTTTTTTTTTTTTTTTTTTTTTTTTTATTGAACTCACATGCCAACTATTTACATAAATGCCAAAACCCACAACCCCCAACAGAGCCCTCATAGTGCTCTGCCCCAGCTAGCTGGTCCTGCCCCCATAAAAGACCATGAACAGAACTCTCAGTCTCTGCCCCAGCAGGCATGCTGGGGGACCCCGCCAAGCGCTGCTGTACCCTGACGCTACAGTATAAAATATAAAGGCATTATTGCCTTCAGCCAATCCTAACCTTTTACTGTCAGTATATTTTATAGTTTAAAAGAACATTCTTAAGAGAAACTTTCACCCTGCATTTAATTAAATTGTTGCTGCTGGACTCACTATAAAGCTGGAACATTATACAAGTCTGAATGTGGCTCCACAGACAACAATTATTTGGCCTTCTGTCAAAACCATTACTGATTACAGACTTCAAAGCACTATGTTGTATTTTCTTTCACTTTTGCTTTCTATTGGCACCAAATGACCAACCATCCCGCCTATTCTACTATTATACTCACCCAACAGCTGGCCATTTTGGTCAAAACACTTTAGTTGACAATTAGAATCCAAAAATCCCAGAATCCAAAACTGTCCACAACTAGAAGACTATTGTAAGTGGTATTTAATACTGCTGAGCATGAAGCGGGCCAGCTCAGGAAACACAGACTAAAGTACAGTACACCGGGACAGTCATACTGGGCAAATGTAAAACAGCATGATAATGAGAACACAACACATTTTTAGACACTTTCATCTGTGGGAATCTCTCTTCTTAGTGGCACCAGTCCTGCTATGGTTGTGTTTACAGGGCTGCAGTTTAATGCTTTGCCAAGGTAGTTTCTCATCTTAAAAGGAGTCTTGGCAGTGCAAGCTAGTGATTTTGCACTCCTTGCTGCTGGAAAACAGTACTCCCTGCAAGGATTATGTGGCCATGTACGTCAAACAAAACACTGGGCCATTACTGTACAATTATGGCATATAAGCTCATAGAAGTTTCTTTCAAAATAAGAGCCTCTAGTAGAAAGGTCTTCTCACTTTAAAAAGAAATGTTGAGACACACAGACCTTTCTCTGTCTGTTCTTCTTTCTGACAGACAGCAGGGCAGCTGGCAGACACCCAGCCAAGGGTGCATCTCTGTATATTGAGAAACTTTCAAATAAAAACAGAAATACTGTAGCTGTTGATTTCAGCAGCTCAGGAGAAACAAGAAGTAGACATTTTAGGGATGTGATTGGGTCAGGTCCATAATGAATTCAGGGCCTTAAATCAGTCCCACCTCTTATTTCCCGCTCAGTAATCTGGAGGATTGGAGAGTAATCTGGATAGAAAGGAGAGAGAGAGACAGGGAGGGGTCGAGCGAGAGGGACAATCCCTTCTGCTGTGTTTCCTCTTTATATCATCAATTCCTGTGGCAAAACGTCATGTTCTGGTGCAGGTGCCAACAGTTATTTTTGATGTTGATGATGTCTGCTGGACTGTGTGCCAGTGTTTAGTGTGCTTATGGCTCTCACGCATTATCAAAAACAATGGTTTTAAATCAATATACTTAATTCAACATTAAAAACTTAGAGCTGTGTTTCTAGTTTTGTTGTTAGATAACAGATTGTGGGTAATATTTCTGGCTGGGTGACACTCGTATAACATTCAGCTGAACCATACTGTGATGACTCGATATAATCATGTATCCCAGGTTTATGATTCCAATTAAAGAATAAAGTTTAGTTGAATAAATATGAAGAGTTTCTTACATGTCATTCGTAACAGAGGAACACAGTTCACCACGTTGAGTATCTTTTTTTTTTTTAATAAATAAAAACCACTCAATGTCCACTGATTTTCTGGAGCTTTCAACTACATCTCAGGCTTCAAAAGGAGAACAGAATTTACTGCAATGTCAAGCAAACACCACCATAACTGACTATTAATGCCTTACACAGAGATAATCATGGTCAACTTTAATTGACATGGTCACCAAGTTATTAATTTAATCCTGTGTTTATTATCATGACTAACTGTTGACAGTCCTGAGATTCTATCCACATGAACATACAGTAAGGAAACACAGCAACACAAGTAGGCCCACGTCTGCTGTTGAGTCCTGCTCACAGACTGGACAGATCCACCAACAGCTAGCTTGCACAACTTTCCTCCAATCTGCTGTACCAACCCAACTTCACCGTGCACACTCATGCTGCCTCAAGTGCTGTCGGGAATATGGGAATGATCTTATTCAGCTGCATGTGACAGACCCACCTTTGTGGTAAATGTGACGGAGCAAATGAAAGCTGAGAGTCACTGGGGGCAACGAGGCGTTCAAGGCAGATGCGCGACAACTGTCTTTGTATAACAGGGCCACTCCTTCTAGAAAGCAAAAGTTTCTGACGAGCACTTGAAAGTAGCATTATCCTACACCACTACGGCGTCCCTGCGATGCGTGCGTGCTGTGAGATCACTCATCCAAAATCACCGTCATCTGACTGTTACAAAGACTCCAGCTGTCCGCCCACTCTCTCCACACTCACTGCGCGTCGCTCACCTTTACTGAACACGCAAAATACTTTGAATCCACGTGTGCGTAAAACACAATGTTGATGTTTCAGCTTGACTCACCGTTAGTTGTCTGCTTTTTGGACAGTTTGTCGGGAATCTCCGAGCGTCGCTGTCACAACCACGGTCCGCCCACCCAACAGTGCACTCCCCTGGCTGCGCACTAAGGCGCTCCTCCCTGAAATGTTCTACCCCAATCACAAACCCACAACTCTGACTGCTTCCTGCTCTGTCCAGTGAAGTCAACGTTAAGATCTGAATGATAAGGGCACCGCCCAACCACAGATTTCAAATCATAAGCAGGCCCTTCGTCGTCACTGTGTGGACTTTTGACAGACGCCGTGCGCACACAATGGAAAAGTTTGACTCCTTGTATGGGGCAGTGCCGGGCCAATCGATGGGGGGAATGCGCTGTGGTTACGGCCAAGGCCCAGAAAGACGCCTTGATAGCACCCTGGATGGATACCGCCCAAATCGCAGGAATGTCACTGGGATGACAAAAATTATAGTTATTACAGGAAATATTGACACTCGAGACGAAAAGCACAAATCATATGTGTACGTCTATGTGTATTACAGTTAAATAAATGAATACAGTTTGATCATTTGGTCTTGCATGGTTTATACATGTGCCTGACATTGATATAACGAATAATTGCGATGATTTACTACGTATAGAGTAGGCTACATATCCAGAATGCATGTTTCCACTGTAACATATGTAAAAGCACATATTCCTCTGGTCAGTTCCTCGACTGCAGCCGCGCCAACTTTCAGTTTCATATAATGTAGGTTTACACTGACACCTTGTGACAAAACAAATGGCAAACATCAGTTCCAGTCAACAAATGCTCTGTGCCCCTGCTCCGCTTCCACGTCAGTATGTGTTGTGGTAGTGGAGCCGTGCGGATCAAGGCGCGCCTGTGTGCGTTTTGCGCTTTTTTATATACAGAGCGAATTGTAAAGAGCTGATTATTGTTGGTGGACACTTATTCTGTATGTGATGCTTAGAAATGAACGTTTCTTCTTGTGAAACAGCTATGTTTAGGTACTTGAACATGGTTTTTGTTGAGAGTGGATGGACATCCTTATCTTATTTACTCAGTAGTGCCATGGAGAGATGGCTAAATGGACCTAACAGGCACACACAGGGGCATAATGGCTAAGGGGTCCCATGACCATAACCTCTGCTTAAAGTCACTATTCATACTGTTTTCTGAAGAGTCAGAGAGCTCAGTCAAAAGTATATTTATGATGACTTTTACCTGCAGCACTTGGGACAACTACACAGCACACACTATGACAGGTAGCACTGCTTAATAGAAAATATGACCTACATCACACATTTACTTTGATGGGTTTCTGTAATATTTTTTATAAGATGTGCTATAAAATTTAATACATCTCTGGAAAGGGTGAACATGAATGTGTGCCAGGAAGCTTTGATAAACCTATTCACTGATACGGTGTCTCGTAATTTCCAGCTTGAACAAAACACTCAAGTTCAGGGTTTGTTTTCAACCAGGGAGAAGAACTTCAAAGAATCAGACAAGCCATAATGATTTTGCTTTCAAAGAGGTTTATTGAAAGAAATGTTTCGAAATTGTATAAATTTCAACCACTGTTAATGCCGTCGTACAATCAGAACCTGGAGCTTCACCATTTCCCCTCGTAACATTCTTTAACATTCATAATATGAAAGCTTTTTGAGCTTTGGCCAGCTCAGTATTACAGTATAAATCTATGATTAACGCAGTATCCCAGGGGTGGCCATAGAGTATAAACTATTAAAAAGATTTTCTATTTTCCAAACATTTGCAAAAGGATATACCTTCACAGATTTTAACACCTTGTGCACTGACAAGAAAGTAAAAAGTGCTCAAAACCTGCATTCAGATGTATAGATAATAGTTATTCCTCAGCCTGTCCCAGCTAGGTAAAAGCAAAATTTGCAAACTATTAGGTGAATTTGATTTAACTTCTAAGGCAGAAGTGAAAACAGAGCCCAGAAAGGTCAAACAAGCACTCTGATATTTGGGGAACAGTTTACAGTTCTGTCCAGGACTGCCACACATGCATCACTTCATTACAGTGGTTTGCAACCAAAGATACAAATATACAATAATATTGTATCATCTAGAATCACTATTTGCAGCTATTAACCCCTCTCTTCCATGACCTGGAAGTAGTGTGTATATATATGTGTATATAAATATGATTCTTCCATAACCTGGAAGAATTCAGTGTTTCACTCTACACACAGTTTGCAAGCATACAGCAAAAATCAGCTCCTCTACACATCAAACCCTCTCATTACTAGAGGATTCTTAGTGCAGCATGCGATTAAAAATATGCACAATATTAAAAGTCTTAGCTTCATCACCTCTCATCAGCCTCATCATTATTATCATCCATCCATTTTTTTTAAATAAGATGATTATTTAAGAAGTAAGAAATTAGAGAAGCCTTCATTTATTTTGTATATTTTCCTCTATAATATTCTGCATTTCAAAGCATGCCAAAGAAAATGTTTCAGTTTCTGCATAGTGCTGGCTATATGAGTGTCAAAGACTTGGATTCCTTTACAAGTAGTAGAAGTTTGTATGTACAAGTAAGGAGAGACAGGGTGGGGGGTGGGGGTCCAGAGAGCAGGTTTAGTGAATAATTAATCCTACAATGAGAGATTTTTCATTTCCAGAAACAGAAATCACTTCAACTGAGTCAGTTGCTCCCAGTGACCCTGACCTACTGTATTACTGTCAACAAACCCTGAGTTTCTCTGTCTCTTCCCTCCTGCTGAGCGTGAAGAAGCTGCCTGACAAGCCTCATTCATACCAAGTTGGACTATGAGGTTACAATCACACGTCTAAACATAAACTTTTCATCATCTGCTGCCGCCAGAACTTTGTCCCTGTCAGGTTGTAGCTGTGTAAATAGGCCTGTTTTTAAAACATGTATCATCCATTAAGAACATTCAAGTCTGCTGATAGATGAATGGGTGGGGTCTGCTCAAAAAATGTTAGTGTGAACTTATCTTTAGTTCAGGTTCTTTCACTGCTGCTCTCTCTTTAAAGATAAATGTGCATTAATATCACATGAATATTTCTAGTGCTACTGGATTAAAATGGCGGCTCTGAATCTTAGCACTGGCGCTCCAATGATGGTGGCTTTTTATAAACAGAGTGAACATGCTGGACTCAGTGTTGATTGAACTGACTCTTGGTCTGGAACTGTAAAACACTTGAATTTCCCATTTCAGAGTTAGTCAACTCAGAGTTTAGGCTATGCTGAGAGTTGTTTTTTTAAACCTGCTACCTGAAGATCTGCCCAACCCCCACCACAAACCACCACCCCCTCAACCCTTCCCCAAGAAAGGTGAATAGAGCTGAAAAGTCTCAGCAGTACGGAAGAACAATTAAGAGAAGTGTATGTGTCTGTGTGTAAGGTTTTTATGTTTGGGTGTGTCAAAATTCAACGATGAACAACACTCCAACACTCTCCCCTCCCCTTGCCCACATGGACTTTTTCCCCCCAAGTGCAACCTCTACAGTTAGAATATGCAGTGTGCATTACACAAATGTATTCTATAGCATTGAATATTTCACTAAGGTGTACTGCCACACATAGGGTCAAAGAAGAAGAGTTGACAACAACCACATTCTAGTTTTGAGGTCATAGTTCTCAATGTGAAGATAGTGAAGATATAGTTCAGGCCACTAGGTGACTGTTATTGAACCCTAACAAAAACACTCGCTACGATACGCGAGATGACAAGGAGAGCCCACTTTTGAAATCAATACCTTTGCCCTGATAACAACAACAACAACAAAAATAGATTCACTGCTAAACAACTTCATGTAACACCAGCTTCACTGTGTTAGTACTAGATATTTGTTGTCAAGATTAATTTATTATGGCCCTTGTTTCTGGTGACCACAGTTAGGGACTGCCAGTGAAAATGAACTGATGGTGATGGGTGTGTCAGTGAAATAAACCAAATAAAACACAACATGCAGATAGGGTTTAGTAGGAAGAAGAGCTCAGTAGTTCTCATATTTTAACTACAAAATACTGAAAAGGGAAATTCTAGCAACTTTGGACTAATATCAACCATGAACGCAGTAACATGTTGAATCCACATTCATCTGAAAGCAGCTAATTTACAAACGACCCTCCCCTTTATAATAATTTAATGTGTTCAAGTCTTTCAAGCTATCTTGATTACATCACTGTAAAATATCCTCAATTGAACTTTAAAATCACAGATAATCCAACTGCATTTACAACTTTGATTTAAAACCTAATCCATTTTTTAAGAATTGAATTTCATGTGATTTAAAAATGCTACCAAATGATTATTTGTTACAGCTTTCACAGGCACAGGCAAAGCAATGATGAAAACAGGTAAAACAGGCCATGTGCACAATATGCCCCAAATATGGCTTTTTCCTAAACTGGGGGTTGATCGGATTAGAATTATTAATAGCTATTATAGTTCATAATATGTACCATTCACAAAACAGTTCTACCCATAAACAATGAATAAATAATAAGAATGGTTGCATGAGAGCAAATCTCACAATTATGAACAAAAGAACACAGGAACGTTTACACAGCAAGTCTTCACTGACTCCACCGGTTGAAATGTTCAATAACCCAAAAGAAACTGAGACAAACAAAATAATCATACAACCAAATAAATACATTAAATAGCTTAGACCAGAAAGCAGCAAAATACAATCATCACAATTCTGCATTAAAGGGCAATGTCACCAAAACAAAGATCTGTAATGCTATGCTTCTCATTCTGATTGGTTGGTTTTGACTTATGAGACAAAGAAAAATTAACCCCATGACATCAATAACATGTTCCTGAGTCTTTATTAAATAAATGCACTGTTTAAAAAAAATAGCAAAGCTAAAAAGTAATGAATGTGGTTAAGTTGCTACAAGTCTTAACTGTTTAAAGGACTACTGTACTTCAACATTCGTTCCCTCCTCTGTTATGACTCATTATTGTGTAGAACAAGAAAGATTCTCTTGTCTAATTTTGTATTAGGGAAGACAATTTGAAGATGTCATGGATTTTTATTTTCCTTCCTCTTGAGACCTTGAGATTAAAAGTTGATCAAACTTGAAGATTCTGTGAAAAATGTCACTTATCCAAAAACATAACCTCAGTTATTTCAGTTTAACTCCTTTATAAGGTGATATCATTGCACGTGCTCCTGTTATTAATCTTTGCCGCCCCTGAGGTATCTGGGTAAACTCTAGACTGTGCCCTTGGACTATTTTAACAATGATAGCACCACACCTCACTCAAAATGCATGGGATGGACATGCTCCTTGCCACGTGTTAAACTTCTGTCAAATATTTTATTTTCAAACATTATATCACAATGTAGTTTCAGGACCTTTTTAAAAAAAAAAAATACATACAGTAGTATAAAAAGAATAACATTCTCAAAAGACCCAACCCTCATTGCAGACTTCTATTTTTCATCCTTGTTACTGACCAGCTACAGCACAGCTGAGGTCAATGGAACATTTATAAATAGAGGAAATCATATCACTCACTATTAAGTTGCAATTTTCTTGACAGGCAAAATTTACCAGGTGGCTGGTGAGGTGTTGAACTGCTTTGATGGAACACAACCCAGTGAAGTGAAAAAGTGAAATATTATGCCAGAAGCCTGGACCAAACACTTCAGGACTTTGTATAAACTGATTACTTGTGAGGTACTGTGCCTAAAGGTAGCCAGTTTCGTACAGCAGGCGGACCAAATACAACTTCTACACTGTACCATATAAAACCTGAGCTTTGGTAACTTTCAGAAATTTGCACCACACTTAAACAAGTGATTGTAACCCTTGTGGTGTAAGCTCCCATCATCATGGACGGTGCAGTATGATAGTTTTAATACCAAACCATCGGTGTTATGTTTGTCAGTTTGCGTCTGTACATTACAGAACATACTGTGTTTCTTGGCTATACACATATCTTCACCCCTCAGAATGCATTACTGTACTGGGGGCCTGCATCAGATATGTATCTGTGGGAAACACACAAAAAGCTTAATTTGAAACAGTTCCAAAAAAGGTAGTGGTGATGTAAAAATTTCCTTGAGTTTACTGCTGGGCAACATGGTGGTGTCTGTCGCCTCACAACAACAAGGTTCTTGGTTTGATCCTGCCAGCTGATTGGAGCCTTTTTGTGAGGAGCTTGCAATCTTTCTCTCAGGACTCGACCTCCTCTCATAGTCCAAAGACAAGCCGATTAATTAACTGTCTCTATGTGTCAGCCCTGTCATAAACTAATGACCTGTCCAGAGTGTACCCTGCCCCTCGCCCAATGTCATCTGGGATTGACTCCAGAACCCCACAACCCTTTAGAGGATAAGTGGAACAGCTAATATCTGGATGGAGTTTACTGCTGCTGCAGTACAGACAATTCCAAACTGAACTCAGATGCCTTCACTACAAAGGTTTTTTTCTTTGTGCTGTCTAGATTCAAAACATAGACTTTCAGCCCATCATTTGCCTGTGTAAAAGACATTAAGACTAGTTTAGGCCAAAAAAGAAAACAAATTTGTCCTAAACTTTAGAATCCAGTGATAATCTACAGTGCGTGAAGCAAATATATTAAACCATGCCAACCATGCCCAGCGGATTGAAAGACAAAATCAAGGACAAACACATGCATAAAAAGCTTTGGACCTGAACTTATAACACACATAATAAGATTAAATCACACTCCTCATCTTTTCTTGCCAGTGTTTGCATATATTACTGTACATAGAATAATGGCGCATTTGGCTGGTCTTTGTAAACTGGCAAACTTGTATATTTACTCATCACATGAGAAAACTATATATCCAACATAAAAGCATTTTGGATTTTCTTAGATGAAAAACAGCAAGGACCAATGAAATCTGAGGTAGCAAATTTAACTATGAAAAACTATCACTTTCCTTCATACATGTGTAAGAAATCAAAGCAGGCTAGCATGATCTCACTGATAACTGAATTACTTATTTGTGTTTGCTAAAACACATTTCTTCTTTTCTCTAAAAACAAAACAAAACAAAACAAACAAAAACAACTCAGCTTATGAAATAAGTAACCTGGGAATTCCTGCTTGTTTAAATATTAGGTTTGCAGTTTTGCTGTGCACTGTTCTCACTGTAAACTTGTTAGTTTGCCAGTTTACAACACTGCCTAACTGCCTAACTTACTAGCAGATCTGTAAAATATTTATGACAGGGCAGCTGATATGTTTATCGTGGTAATTCATGGCTTTTAACCCTTCAGTTCCGACCCCTAAGGTGCAAGCCAACTAATCCGGTGTGCTCTTGGTCAGGGAGTCATTTGTTCACCCCTTGGGGCAGAAAATCAGGAGGAAGGAACCAATGACAAAATGGGACAGCAGGTTTCCTGTTAGGCCAGCTAACACTAATATTTACCAACCACTTTTGGAGTTTATCGGAAGCGCCACGGACATAGAATAGAATAATCCTCATATCAATAGGGTTTTCAGTGCAAGACATAAATGGCTACTTGTTTCATCATTATTCTATCCAATGTTGTCTGTTAGTTTCCATCAGTCATACAACATTGGATACAACAGTAAAGGGATTCTTGGTTAGCAGTCATTAAGTGTGTGAAGTTGTGTCACCCATAGCAGATGGCTGAGAGGTCCAGACCGGATCGATCTGGGTTGACCTGGGCTATATTCATTAAGAGCTTCACTCTGCTCTGTTTGGGTTTTGGTTAAAGATTGTACTGTTATATAGTTCAGAAAGCTCCCGATGTAGCATGAGGAGGAGGAGGGTGCATAAAAGAGAGAGACCTTAATCATTTCTGTGCTGCCCCCTAGCCTGCTTCAAGCTTGGTGAGCTGTGTCTTTACTTGAGAGGTCAGTGATGAAGATACAGTAGTTTGGTGCCCCAATGAGTTTTGGTGGTACGTACAGTACAATCCTGACCTCTGAAATGTCATGTGGACCAGTGGAAATGGGAGGAACTGCATGATAAAACATCACTCTTGTTCTCTCTCAATATATCTCTTCCACCATCCCACCGTCCTTCCCCTTTCACCTCTTCTTTAGCTCCCACCTGGGTCAGAGCTGTGTCTTTCTGGTGTCTGTGTGTTCAGCTGTTTCTGCGATTCTTGGAGGGACAGCCTCCTTTGGGTATTAGGATCCAGGGGAGACACTCCTGATCCAGAGGTTGGCCCAAACATAGCCCCAGTGCATAACCCTGAACCAAAGTCTAACTCTGTACCTAAGCTTGGGCCCACTGCTACCCCGCTCTGTAACTCCAACCCTAAACCTACTACTGATCCTGAAGTAACCCCAGCCCCAGTATCCAATCTGAGCTCCAGCTCCAGATGCTGCCCCAGGCCATCCAGCCCAGAGGAGGTGAGCTGGCCATGGCTGTTGCTGATCAGCACAGAGTCCATGTGCTGCAGAGAGTGAAGAGGCTTGGCTGGAAACTTCTCAAACTGGTGGGGGTCCAAGATCTGCAGGAAAATAAACAGAGATCAGAGGGACTGACTAATCTCATGCTAATTCTTCACAAACCAAAATGCCAACTACTATAACTTTTTAATGGAGGTTTCCATACAAACAAGGATTGTGTCAGGCTTGCTCTGCGCCACCTGCCTCTCCTCCTTGTTCTTTCTCTCTCCCTCTCTCCTCTCTGCAGGCTCTCTCTCCTGGGCATGGCACACAGCTGAGACTGGTTGCTTCATTACCAAACTCCTATTTAAGACTCAGGCAGAGGCTCCTCCAGTGCCAGTAAATTGAGGTTTACTTCCACGACACTTTGGCTCTCCCTGTTGACACTCCTAAAACTATGACTGCTTTCTGCCCCTTCAACTCTTCACATCTCTCCAGCCTCCTAGCCATGCCATCTCTGTTCGCCTTCCTCCAAGCTCTCCAGAAACACTTGCCTCATCTTTCCTGCTGGACGTCTTCCTCCTCTGCTCTCAGGTCAGTCAGCATAAGCCACCACCAGCTGTACTCATCATCTCCTGTCCTCTCTGCTGCTAGAGCTTGCTGCCTCAAACTGCAACACCCAACTCCTCTCCCTGGACCTCCCCACTCAGTGACATCCAGTGAATTCACTTCCCTGATGAACCTACTCATCCTCAGTCTCAGCACCTCATTTGACCTCTTCTCCAAGACTGTCACTATTCACCTGCTGTTTGCTTCTAATAAAATCTCGTGTTAGAACTGTGCATCTGCCTCCTGAGTCCTGCTTGCTTGCTCACCTCTCTCCTGCGAGTGAGTGATCATAACAGATTGTAACAATTATTTTTGATATGTAAATCCATTTTCATGAAGAAGCTGTGCTTCTATGAACTGTATGTACCACATTTATATACAGTAAAGCAAACTATTCCAGATGGCCATGTGAACTTGATACTGAAATGTCATCAACTAAACTTGGCTGTCATATTCTCCCAGTTTGTGTCTCATCTGATTACTCTCAGTACCATCAGATCATAATAACCTTCAACAGCACTGGAGCCATGCTGTCATTGCCAGAACATTACTCAGCTGAGTCAAACTGCTGACAATTCTTAACCCATTGCTCAGTGATGTTTGACTTATGTCCTTCAATTTTACTTACAGAGGACTCCAAAGTTGGCTAAATTATCTTTCTTCAAGCCACACCAAGTTCTGCGACACAGTGGAATGGGAGCAGCAGTCAGACATTTGCTCTTCTCTTTGGCTTTTTGCTGCAGAGCTCAAAAAAGTATTCAGCCAGATGGCTCCAGCTCAAGAGGTGGCTCGAAGACTGATGCGACTTTGTCAAGATGAGTGAGGGGTGGTAAATTACCCGGACCTTTGCACTTTTGGTGTATGATGTACCAGTAACCAGGAGAGTCCTAGTGCACTAAACCCTCCGAGCCATATCACCCTACCTTCGTTTGCAGCATGGCCAGCTCGTCTTACTTGATCAAGCCTTGATCATAAGGTTCAAGGAAGTACAGTTCCATAATAGCTCCTTTCAATGCCATCACCTCCCTTTAGGTACATTTCTTGTGGTCCTTCATGGATGGGCTGCCTTTCTAAGAGATAAAGAAGGTTTGCCTCTGCCTTTATAGTCACCATTCTGGGTCCTGCTTGTCAGTTCACTGTGGAAGTGGAAGAATCTGATGTTGGGGTAGGACCCATATTATCATTCCCACAGAAAGCAACTATGATCACTGGAACAGAGAATTGCTCGCCATGAAGCTGGTGTTGAGGGAATGGAGACACTAATCGGAGGGGACTCAACAACCCTTTGTGGTGTGGACAGACCATAAGAAACTGGAAAACATTCCTCCAGCCAGGTTGTCATCTGCCAAGGAAACTGTAGAATTGTTGCTAAACCATGTTTTTCATGATCATGGCCTCAGACAAAGCTAGACACCTACCAGGGTCCTCAGTTTGTAGGCAGACAGGCCCTATGAATCCAGAGCTGAAGACTGTCTTCTGAAAATCATGTATTGCCCCCTTCTTCTGGCAACTGCTTTGGGTTGAGTATGAGCATAACATCATACATTGTGCATCCACTGGTCTGTCCACATTTTAGTATACTTATGGTTATCAGCTATAGAAGGATGTTTCTGTCACCTCTGTCAAGGTTTTCATACAACATTGCAGGTGAATATGAACCAGGGCCTGTGCCATTCTCCTCAGTGCTTTGTCTCATTACCTGAGTGTGGGCAGACAAGCACCAGACACAAGCTGTACAGTACATCCCTGGCCAGCAAATCTGGTTGTCCTCCAAAAGTCTCCTGTTGAAAGTGGAATCCATTAAGTTAGTGCCCCACTTTGTGGGGCTTTTCCCAATCTCTAAGGTTATCAACCCAGCTGCTGTTCACCTGTGCCTTTCTAGGACTGTGAGAATTCATCCCACATTCCATGTCTCCCAAATCAAACCTATGCAGACAAATCTGTTGGTGCCCTCCCTCCAAAGCTCCACTAACTGCCCTGTCATCAGCGATGGTCCTGTATTCACAGTTTGACAACTTCTCAGATCACGTCATTGGTGATGGAGTCTCCAGTACCTGGTTGACCGAGAGGGTTACAGTCCCAAGGACAGGTTATGGTTTCCTCCTTGGGGCATCCTGAATAACAGGATGATTGAGAAGTTCTATTGCAACTACATGGACCAGCCCAAGGGGATGTCAAGAGTCGTCTGACATGGTAAAGGGGCGGGTGGGGGTAGCAAGGTGTTTTGTCACATTCTCTCTGTTTATGTGTCTCTCCAGTAATAACCTTTGCTTCCTGGCAGTTCAGTTATCTGCCACTCCCCATCCCCTCTGGCTCAAAATCTCATTCACCAATCACCATCTGCCATATATACTGGACTGTTTGCATCTCTCTGCCAGATTGTCTTGCATGTCTATGAATGTATTGTAGCTTTTCAGGATTTTTCTATGCCTACTTTTTTGAGTCTCTTTGTGTTACTCACCTGTGCCTGGATCTTGGACCTTGCTTTTGCCTGCCCTGTTACACCTTTGCTTGGACTGGTTCCTCTTCTTTTACTAAACATTGCCTGATTGTTTCACTACACCTGTGAACTTGCCTTTACCCTGTTTACCTGAAGTAAATCAAGCCTAGCCTGTATTTGAGACATTAGGCTGTGTAAAGAGTACCTATAAACACAAGTGTGGCTACCAAGTTTAAGTTTAAGGATTAATGTAATATTTTTTGGGGGGTTTCAGTGTTTCTAATTTATATTCAGTGGAGATCAGCATTCAGTCAGGAAAAATTTGCTCCACAGAGTCAGTCAAATGTACTGTATTAACAGCAGGACAGTAAAGTGAGACATGCATAGTGTTAGGTATTTTTAGCCAGATAGATATTGGATAGATACTTTATGTATTAGAAATGTTAGTGGAGATAGGATGTATAGTTAGACTGTTATATGCTTAGGCCTGCTTATGAGTTTCTACAGGGTACATCTGGTCAAGGATAACTAGAGAGAAGAGTTGATGACTGTCAGCAGACAGGGTGTTCAATATTATTATTACGATGTGTATAACTGTAGCCTTAGCCATAATATGTTCCTATGTTCAAGTCACGACATGTTACTAGAAGTCTGTGAGAATGTTTTTAGTTACACACCACTTAACCAACAGACATACACATTCACACGTTGATTTGCTTCATGTTTTGACTATCGCTAGAGCCAGCTGCAAAGCTGGTAACAGAGATGTCCCGGTTGACGTTTCTGTGTAGTATGGGGCTAGCCCAACCGAGGTGATAAAATGTATAGGCCTGGTGGGCTCAGGGTCTTTTCATCTTACATCTGCCTGCGTGCAGGTTGGAGGTGCAAGACACTTGAGCGTGTAATGTTAATTTTACCTGTGATCCTTTGAATAAATCAGCACTGTTTTGAAGTTACTTGGACTGCCTCGTCTCTCAGAGTTAGCATGGTAAGACGGACCCTACCCTACAATAGCAATATGTTAATTACTACATGTGTCTAACCTGTGATAAGGAGGACTGAGTCTCTGTCTCCAGAGGTGTAACAGGCTGAACCAATCTCTCTCCTGAACCTGGACCTGGTCCGGGATCAGGGTAGGGTGGAGCCTGTGGAGAAGAAACCATCTTATAGCATGAAATGAAGCATTTTGTCTAATGCAGCCTGAGTCAGTCTCTAAGAAAAAAAATAAATTGTCTTTCATCTTGCCTCCTGCTGATAAGGTGTTTTGGTCTTGCTCAGAGACAAATGTTCAAGTCCTTGTGACAGCAAGCATGTCTGTTGTTACCTGATGGGGTGATGAGACGGTGCTGTAGGAAGGAGGATTCAGGGTCATCCGTCTCTGCAACAGCTGCATGATCGTGCCAATGTCAGTTGACATGCGACTCTCCAACCTGTGCACAGCATATCATCAACTATTGATTACTGCATGGAAGAAACATTTACATTCTGTGAATTTTACAATTAATTCATTTCATTAATGTTGTTAAAGACATTAATACTGTTTTCTGCAGCCATTTTCTAGGGTATTTACTATTTCATATTTAAAGAAAAATTCAGTTTTATTTATTGTCCTGGGTCTAATTTTGCTTATTATTTATATCGGTTACAATATAGAAGGACTCATCAATGACTTATTGCTAAGATTTAGGAACATTTGAGCCAGTCATACCTGTTGAGCTGTTTCTGCAGCAGGTCCAGGCGTGTGTCCAGCTGCTGTCGTTGCTGGCGGCTCAGGCTGTGCAGCGGCGTGTTGGGGGGTGGAGGGGAGGCCAGGCTGCAGCTGGGTACCTCCTGGTACTGACGACTCTCTCCCCAGAAACTAAAGATGTTAGATACGCCTGAAAAGGCACCTGTGGGAGAA